TGCCTTGTACATGAAGTGCATTATCCTGTACTTATGTCTCCTCTCCGCCATTCCTTCCGGTTCTTATTGGGTCTTTCCTGGAATTTCCCCACAGCTTTGTCGACAGATCTTTTCACTGCTGTGCTTGTACTTTCAGAACGGTGGATCAAAGCTGGGATGATTTGAAAACAATACTTGTCAGGGAATTCCCAGTATTCGGTCACTTTTATCTTGGGCTCCAAGACAGAAAAACCGCAAGTCACGAATATGGCGAAGATTCAGTCAAGGATGAGAAAAATTATTCGACAGAATACCAAAATTTTCCGAAAATCTGGACGGGGAACACATTTTCGAAATCCCGTCACGAACCTTTCTGTAACAAGTCTCCGGCGTGTTTTATTTCAGCGTCTAATGATATCCTTTCAATCCTTTCGCATTGATCGTAATTTTGATTCAAACTCTCAAAATTAATTGAGAATTGGAGTGATATTACGTTAAATCCAGACTGGGAGATACTCTGGCTCAAATTGAATTGATTCAATTGATGTTTTCTTTTCTGGGATTGATGTGCAGAAATTTTGGAAAATTTCCTTGAATACCGAGATTCTTCTGTGGTTAGAATCGTGGGGAGTCGTCAAGAAAAAAATTACGCTGAAAGGTGTGGAATTTTAAAATAGCGTATGTGCGGAGGATGAAGAAGACCTACTGTATTTTTAACTTATCCTGAAGAAAGGGACTATATGTCCACAGGTGAAAGAGGGTTTGAATTTTAGAAGAAGTCATGGAATATGCAGTAATACCCTGAGTGCATGCAAAGTTCGTGACACACACAAAAAGCAAGGAGTCTGAGAAAATCTGACCTTTTAAGAAATTCGGAATGCTTTGCTTAAACTCACTCTGGGTACTTCGGATCCGAATCACACCAAGTATCATCTGGTTCGGCGCATTCCGGACGATAACTTTCAGCAGCGAATGTGAAATTCGTCGAAGAACCCGGACCCGTGGGTGTCTCCGGAGGTCTAAACGGGTTCGGAACCTTGTTAACTGGGATTAGGTCGCTTGGGTCGATTCGGGACGCTATTGCAGGGCGATTGTTTCCACGCGGCCTAAGATTTTTGCTTTCCGGAGACTTTAATGAAGGAACGGTCTTGTTCAGAAGTCTTCTCAATTTCTGCTGGGGACTGCAAACTCCAAGTGTCGTCAGCATGAAGATGGCGGTCAATGCGACAGTCTTTAATGCATTCCGATAAATAGAAAAGTATTATAACGGTAAAAACACCAACCAGTTCACGCGTATTTTAATTTTTATACATATTTAGAAGATCCTTTCTACAAACAGATCCCGTGCTTCAGTCTTCTGGTCAAGGAAAGATTAAAGATGGTAGCTTGATTTTGTTTGGATACATTTCAAACCATCTTCTCTTCATAAAGGTTTTCATTTTTGAGAAAAAAGCCTCTTCGAAAGCGATTATTCGACGCACCCCGATGATTCAAATCCGATTTTCGTTAATAAACTGTGGCTTTTTTTCTAGTAAATTCATTAGTAAATTCAGATTAAAGATGGTAGCTTGATTTTGTTTAGATACATTTCAAACCATCTTCTCTTCATAAAGGTTTTAATTTTTGAGAAAAACGCCTGTTCGAATGCGAATATTCTATGCACTCCGATGATTCAAATCCGATTTTCGTAAATAAACTGTGACTTTTTTTCTAGTAAATTCATTAAATTCATTAGTAAATTCATTAAATTCATTAGTAAATTCAGATTAACGATGGTAGCTTGATTTTGTTCAGATACATTTCAAACCATCTTCTCTTCATAAAGGTTTTAATTTTTGAGAAAAAAGCCTCTTCGAATGCGAATATTCGACGCACCCCGGTGATTCAAATGCGATTTTCATTAATAAACTGTGACTATTTTTCTAGTAAATTCAGGAACAGTGTAACAAAGCCCAGTTGAAAAAATAACCTTCACCGATTAGTCCATTTCACTTGTTCCGGAATCAATGAATCCATAGTAATAAAGAGGAAGGTGTGCACGAAAGGACAATGGATTGCCCCACACCCACAGAATCGAAACTTCGTCCGAACCCCTATTGTTTTTACCGCACAATACGTTGTTGGTAACTGGCATCAGAACCCTCGGATTTTCTCGCAAGCAGCGGTAAACATATTGAATTTAGTTCAATAAATACGAACCGCAGAGATTCAAGAGAATTTCGTTACCTTATTCTATATCCATTGACCCAATCAGTGACTGCACAATACTCCATGATACATTTTAGATTCACGAAAACGTCGGCCAAAGGGGGGAAAATGTACTCACACATGTGATTTTCATAACGGGAGGAAGATTTCCTTGTCAAACTTGACCATTCACTCAATCCTGTGTGCACATGCCGCAAACCAGTTGAAAATAAAATACCTCTTGCGCATATTTAACAAGCTTCCACAAAGAGGCTTAATTTAACGAAATGAGATAAACTGTTAATTTTCAAGTAAAAAATTTTCAAACCTCCTGATTATTTCAAGCAAACAGGAACTGAAAATATGTCTACTCAAATTTCGTTCAGGTAATTGTGAAGGATGGTGCTTGTGAGATATTAATTCAGTGAGATTTATTTGAGCTGAGCTTTCACAAAAGCAATATAGCACCGTCACTTTTAAATTTTTTTGAATCCGATTTATGTAAAGTTTGAAAAAAAAATTGCAAACGAAGTACGATTTCAGCCGACGTTCGCGGAGGAAATGAAAATCCATGCGTAGTTTCCCTTGCTGTTGTCGGTGGAATTTCACTTTCTTCTCTGCATCATAATCAGTATGGGTAGGGATGCAATTTCTTATAATTCCCGCTGCATCGTCGCCAACTGCAACCGATTCCTTCACGGGCTGTTTCTCAAGCAAGGAAAACAGAAACCCCTGCCTCCTATTCATGGAGCAACATTGATCAATGACCCAGTTCGAACCAAATTGTGATTCATATGGTTCGTTTTTTCTTGACATTTGGTCACAAAGGCTGAGGATGCCAGATGTATGTGGTTGTCATCACCTCATGGCATATCAAAGAGATCTAAAATTATGCACCAAAAGAAATTTATTTAAAAAAAACCCTCGATAGGGGAATCAAAAAATCCTCATTCAATGGATTATTACTTTCGCAAAACATTGCACTGTATTTTTCTCAAAAACTTACATCAGACAGTGGTAAATGGCATTTTAGATTACTAAGATGATTGAATGTGAAAATACTTCGCATTTTCTCCACACGAGGCAAAATAAAATCAGCGGATAAGTACTATGAATCAAAACTACGCCTCCTGCAGCAAAATGAGCCGAATAAAGGGAATGAAAAGGAACCCCCCGGGTTTCATTACCCATTTCGTGACTGGACTCTCTCTCTGTGTGGGTCACGTCGGGATAGGGTGACTCTTTGCAGTACTCTGCCTGGGTATCGAATTGCAACATCGTGGGATCGGCATTTCATCGCCTCCCCTCGGCCCATCAAAAGCCAGTAACGAGTGACGGAGCTTTAAATTAACTCCTTTCTAAAGCCCCCTTCAACCTTTTTCGGGTAAGTGATTCCCATGCAACTCGTGAGTCTGGCAGCAGTGGGATTTTTCTCTTTTGTCCAGCAAGGACGCCCATCTTGAAACTTGTAGACGTCGTCCACAAAATCCGGAGTTCAAACAAGTTCAATCCAACTCGCCGTGTAATTATGTAATTACTTCTAATTCTTCTCGACCTTGTTGTCATGGCTCTTCCGTGGTGTTCCATCTGGTGGTACTGCTATTAAAGGTGCTAATAAAGTATTTTTGTCGCAGGTGGGAATACAGTGTTTGTATCACAGGTGGTAATACAGTACAGTATTTTCATCGCAGGTGGTACTACAGTACAGTATTTTCATCGCAGGTGGTACTACAGTACTTTTACCACAGGTGGTACAACATTACATTACTTTTTCCGCCGGTGGTGCTTCAGTATTTTTACCACAGTTGGTATGCAAAACTTGCATCACAGGTAGTACTACAATGCCTGTATCACTGCTGGTACTACTTGTATCACTGAAGGTACTACTTGTATCACTGAAGGTACTACTTGTATCACTGAAGGTACTACTTGTATCACTGAAGGTACTACTTGTATCACTGAAGGTACTACTTTTATCACTGAAGGTACTACTTTTATCACTGAAGGTACTACTTGTATCACTGAAGGTAATACTTGTATGAATGAATGAATGAACAGAAAACTTTATTTGCCGCTTTTCAGCATTCACAAGGCACAACCAAGACTCCTGCATCCCAACCCCCTCCCCACCCAACCCAACTCCCCCCAAAGACATTCAATATCTTCAAAGCATGAAACAAAGCACAAACNCCCCCCCAAAGACATTCAATCACTTCAAAGCATGAAACAAAGCACAAACAAATGACAAAAACAGAAGAGAACAAACTCCACAAAATAAAACTGGACATCCTACATGTATGCTGCATACACCCACCCATCCCCAATGTTGAAGACAAAGCAGCAGTAAAAGTTTATTTAAAGCACAAGGTCTGCAGCCTGTTTCTGTATGAGTTTTAGTTCAATGAACAATTTAGAGAGAATCTTTGATGAGAAATCATATAAGGCCAAAAATGTATCTTGATCCTTCAAGATTTCAGAAAGTGTCTCTTCATTGAATTTCAGTAATTTCAAATCTTTCTTAAGCTGATTTCCATCCATGAGATACATTTATAAATATCCTAAATACTGTACTGCTACAGACAGTATATACATTCATTCATGGGTTTTCCCCTTCTTCTTCTGGTTTCCTGGAACACATTGTAAAAAAAAATGTATAAATGTTTCCCAGATCAGCAGCCATGTCCAACCAAGAATCGCCCGCTGGATGCAGTGCTGAGATTATCCTAACGGACAGGCAGTTAATCCCATGGGATTATCCCAGGGAGCACCGCCCCTGAAAAAAAAAAGGCGCACAAAAAGGCACCTGTTGGCTTGCTCTAAGGGCCAGTCAGTCTTCAGGGATTGCGTGTGCGGAACTATCATACCCACCGACAGAGTTGCCAGTGTTTCGCGCGTTCGTCTTCAGAGATCTGCTGTTCATCCCTTGACCTTCAGATGCTGATCACCAGAGTGCAGCACACTTGCTCAAGAAGGAATCCTTCAATTATTTAATTATAAAAATAAACGAAATACTGTATTGAGAAAGAAGAAGTTAAAACAATCAAGCGGCATATTGATTGGTGAATGATATAAAATCACGGAATATATTGTGTGATTTACATATATAATACGAAGCCGAGTCATCATGAGTGGGAAGCAGTCGATTCTAAGCTTCGGAATTCCTAGGATCCACCCATACCAACTGCCCTATAAGGTAAGTTATTTTGTCTGCCTTCAAATTAAAAAATATTGTACAGAACTTCATTTTACTTTTCAGTCAAATTTAATGGACCAGCAAAAAAAATTGACTTTTCCACGTTTTGAAGTACAGTATTAATATAGCATAACAAATATTTTTGTTGGGGCAAACACAGAAGAATTGCAGGAAACTGCAAATGGTGATATTCTGGGCCTTGGATTGCTTCTTAAATGAGTTGGCAGGATGCTAAACTTGGAGACAAGGGTTCATTTGCCCAATTAGTCCTTCATTTCCTTTCAAAACACTTCAACTTACTTGTTCTTGTTTTTCTCTTTCATGGATCAAGAGAATAATGGCAAAAATGCTTCAGAAAATTCAATTTACAGAGGTTTGAGAAGGAAGACTGTGAGTTCAAGAGGTTTTTTAATGCATGACTCCTATAAAGAGAATTCAGACAAAGACTTGGAATAAACTTGAAGTTTGGTAGGTATTTGACTTCAGAAGGTTAGAGTTATTGAGGTTCAACTGTATATATAAACATCCCCAAGATGTAGGCAACTCAATTTCTCATAATGTAAATAAGTAAAAAGATAATCTGCACCAAAATGTCAAGATTTTTTCAGTGTATACAAAAAGTTTGCAAACCTGCCAAAAACAAAATGTATCTTCAAAACTGTAATGTATCTCAAACAAATTGATTCTTTTAAAGACCTAAAGTCAAAAATAAACATTAGTGGGCATTTACTCTTGTTCTTTAAAAAAAACAGTTAATTGAGTGCTTCGCCTTTTTATGGTTTTTCCATCAACTGTGCATGGTACAGTGGAGTGTGTATCAGTATATTCTTGCTCTTTTTTTGATTCCTCATGTCAAAATGGAAGATGGTGCAAGGTTGTCTACTAGCCTACTATGCAGTTATTTACTGTCTTTCAATGTTGAAAAAAAAATTACGAAGGTTTTTTTCTTGTTCATTTATTTAAAAATAGGAGATGTATTTAACAATGTCCATATGAAAGTAAATGGCAAATTTTCATCCAACATGCTGAAATTCCAAGAAACAAACACATTTTGAAGTACACGCAGTAATTGCATCTGCATTTCAGGGTTTCACTGTTGTATGTGAGAAAAATGTGTCAATTTTAATTACTCTTCAAAATCAATGAATTTTTAAAGTATAATCTCAAAAATCTCTAGAATAAATCAGGATTCAAACTCTGCGGCCTGAAAATTAACATTAGTCAATTTTGTCGTATTTCATAGACAAATATGTATTTGGCTGCATGAAACCATCAAGTATTATCCTTATATACCAACGCATATATAGGACTCCAACAATTCGAATACAAAATGGAAACTGATTTTAAGAGTGATTATATATTTACATATTTTCAGTCAACAAAATGTCAACTATAGGCCCTGTAACATACGTGTCTCCCCCATTTTCTTGCACCACTACGCATTTGCGAGACTTTTCTCAATTATATCTGGAAAACTAAGAAGAAACCATAACATTCATCATGAAGCAAGAAATGAACCAAAGCTGAGATGAAAGGCCTCTTATATAGGGTTCAAATTCGATTTAGCTGCAATCCCTTTTTTTCTTTCATATATTAACGTATTTCGTGCATGACCACAGTGACTTCGTGAGTCGTGACCACATTGTATGACCACCCTTTCCCAAAAATAGAGATAAAATTAAATTGATAAGAGAACATCGGGGATGGGCAACGTTTACAGGAATACAGGGTTCACCAAAAAATTCCTTTTTATGCACATTCATTATGAGAAACTTGGTCTTATTTATTCTACGTCTACATATAATGGCAAGTACACGAAATTAAAGTTTTTTTTCTTTGTTTTGAAAGGCGAAAATATTCACAAGCATACAGTATATTAAAAGCACTGATGAACCTGCTATAGTAGAAGAATAAAAGCTGTTAAATGCATTGATAATGAACAAAATAAATCAACGAAAAAAGGTTTTACTTTCAAGTTTAAATTGACCCACTGTTAGTATGAATCATTAAAAAATTGCCAAAAACTTTAGCTCAAATAAGGTAATCTGCTGGCGATTTGGAATTTTTTGATTTGAGCAAAAATACCAACTATTTATAGCTATCAACTATCAAAATTTGAATCCTTTAACTCGAAAACCCCACGTCGTTTCCGAAGGGGTTTGTCATTTCTGTTCACGAGGTAAAATATATTCACACATGATCCGAAATCCATCGAAGAACTCACTTCACAAAATGTTTATAAATTTTGCTTGATGCATTATTGATCGTGCAAAAATGAGTCTAAATTGATGGGATGTTCATCCACAACGTCTCATCAACAAAAACAAATTACAGTCAACCCCCGGTTAACGTTTTTAGTTGGTTCCAAGCAAAAAAACGTTAACTGGAAAAAACGTTAACCGGGGGTGTATTTCCCTTAAGAAATAAGGGTAAAACGTTTATTTGGTTCCACAAATAAAAGTTTGCAAACCTGCCAAAAACAAAATGTATCTTCAAAACTGTAATGTATCTCAAACAAATTGATTCTTTTAAAGACCTAAAGTCAAAAATAAACATTAGTGGGCATTTACTCTTGTTCTTTAAAAAAAAAACAGTTAATTGAGTGCTTCGCCTTTTTATGGTTTTTCCATCAACTGTGCATGGTACAGTGGAGTGTGTATCAGTATATTCTTGCTCTTTTTTTGATTCCTCATGTCAAAATGGAAGATGGTGCAAGGTTGTCTACTAGCCTACTGTATGCAGTTATTTACTGTCTTTAAATGTTGAAAAAAAAAATTACGAAGGTTTTTTTCTTGTTCATTTATTTAAAAATAGGAGATGTAATTGATAATGTCCACATGAAAGTAAATGGGAAATTTTCATCCAACATGCTGAAATTCCAAGAAACAAACACATTTTGAAGTACAGTAATTGCATCTGCATTTCAGGGTTGCACTGTTGGATGTGAGAAACATGTGTCAATTTTAATCACTCTTCAAAATCAATTAATTTTTAAAGTATAATCTCAAAAATCTCCAGAATAAATCAGGATTCAAACTCTGCGGCCTGAAAATTTCCATTAGTCAATTTTGTCGGATTTCATAGACAAATATGTATTTGGCTGCATGAAACCATCAAGTATTATCCTTATATACCAACGCATATATATAGGACTCCAACAATCGAATACAAAATGGAAACTGATTTTAAGAGTGATTATATTTACATATTTTCAGTCAACAAAATGTCAACTATATAGGCTGTAACACACGTGTCTCCCCCATTTTCTTGCACCACTACGCATTTGCGAGACCTTTCTTAATTATATCTAAAAAAAAATAAGAAGAAACTATAGCATTCATCATGAAGCAAGAAATGAACCAAAGCTGAGATGAAAGGCCTCTTATACAGGGTTCAAATTCGATTTAGCTGCAATCCCTTTTTTTCTACCATATACTGTATTAACGTTTTTCGTGCATGACCACAGTGACTTCGTGAGTCGTGACCACATTGTATGACCACCCTTTCCCAAAATTAGAAATAGAATTAAATTGATAAGAGAACATCGGGGATGGGCAACATTTACAGGAATACAGGGTTCACCAAAAAATTCCTTTTTATGCACATTCATTATGAGCAACTTGGTCTTTATTCTACGTCTGCATATAATGGCAAGTACACGAAATCAAGGTATTTTTTGTTTTGTTTTGAAAGGCGAAAATATGCACAAGCATACAGTATATTAAAAGCACTGATAAACCGGCTAGTAAAAGAATAAAAACTGTTGAATGCATTGATAATGAAAAAAAAGAATCAACAAAAAGGTTTTACTTTCAAGTTTAAATTGACCGACTGTTAGCAATAATCCTGAAAAAATTGCCAAAAACTCTAGCTCAAATAAGTTAATCTGCTGGCGGTTTGGAATTTTTTCGGATTTGAGCAAAAATACTCAATTTTTATAGCTAGCTATCAAATTTTGAATACTCGAAAACTCCGGTCGTTTCCGAAGGTGTTCGTCATTTCTGTTCACGAGGTAAAATATATTCACACATGACCCAAAATCCATCGAAGAACTCACTTCACAAACTGTTTATAAATTTTGCTTGATGCATTATTGATCGTGCAAAAATGAGTCTAAATTGATGGGATGTTCATCCACAACGTCTCATAAACAAAACCAAATCAGTTTTCATTTCAAGTGGAAATTGACCCACTGTTCAAATGAATGATCAAAAAACATGAAAATTTGACATAAAATGGGTTAATTTCATCATTTTTTAATTTATTTTAATTTCCCCAACATATTTATTACGCGTTATTAAAATCTTCAATCAATTTGAATAACCCCCCCCCCCCTTGTGTTTCGGATGACATACAGAATTCCAGCAGCATTCCGTTATAACGAATTCTTTGTATACAACGAAGTCATTTTTCAGGTCCCTCCGCTATAAAAATCATGTCATTAAAATCGCTTTATAACGAATTTAGCGTCAAAAACGAACTCTCGAATAAATCCTATAAAAATGATGAAAGATTCACTTCAAATGAGTTAATTTCCTCACTCTGGACGTTATCTTTTTTATTATCATAAAAAATGTTGTAATTAGAGCTAACTATTATAATCTGAAGGCAATTTGAAACACGCTTAGCCTTCGAATGAAACACAGTAGAATCTAATTACAACGAATGAATGGTTACAACGAAGTCATTTTTTTCATGTCCCTCCGCTATGAAAATAATGTCATTAAAATCGGCTTATAACGAATTTAGCGTCAAAACGAACTCTCAAATAATGCCTATAAAAATTATAAAAGATTCACTTCAAATGAGTTAATTTCCTCACTGTGGAAGTTTTCTTTTTTTAATTCTCATAAAAATGTAGTAATTAGAGCTAGTTATTACAATCGGAAGGCAATTTAAACCACACTTCGCTTTTCGAATGAAACACAGTAGAATCTCAACGAATTATTGGTTACAACGAAGTCCTTTTTCAGGTCCCTGCGCAACAGCAATAATGTCATTCAAAGTGAATTTTAACGAAACCTTTCTCATCCCTGGCCCCAAAAATTGTCGTTGTAACGAGATTTTACTGCATAGAAATACCCGTATTCCCCGCGGGTCGATGAACCGGATGATCCATTTTCAACCAGGGAATCCCCAACCCTCAACCAAAATAATGTAACCCTGTACCGAATTTCGGACAAACTGATGGACCCAGATAACAAGCTCTTGGAAAAAACAAAGGACAGGACGAACAAAAGGAAGGATTAATATATAAAAGGAAATGGAGTGGAAAAGCCATTTCCTGTGTGTGCTCCCTAGGTTTTTTCCCAGAAAAAAAAACCTTTGTGATGTGATGCCAGTCTTTTCTGGAAGTCATCTCCAGGATCACCGTGTTCTTTTTACAAGCCTGCCACACCCTTTTTTCCACCCAGAAAACACTATCACCTGTGGGCATATACTTTAAGGGAGTGAGTGAGTCTCTGGTCATTTCCGATTCTCACGCAGATATGACCCAAACAGAAGAACAACAACAACGACGAAAAACGATTGTGAGAAACCAAAGAAGAAACAAAAAAAGCACCCTCACAGACATGCACCCAAATCGTGCATTTGATTCCTGGGACGCTGTCCCAACATTATCACATCTCTAATTAATTTCCATCCTTCTCATTTCCCCTCCTCAAGTGGAGACAGACATACCTCAATCTCCTCAGCAATTATTCTTCTTCTTCCTAATCTTGCAGTACATATGCCATCATTTTGGATGATACATGACCAATTTGGAATACCCCATTCCATTCTACAGGGTGGACAGAGAAGTAAAGCTTTTTTAAAAAGTTGTCTTGGCATGAAGAGGGGTTTCATTATAAAGCCTGTTTAATTCTTATCTGAGAGGCCCCAATGAGATGGGGAAATCAATTAATTTTTGGACTGTGTTCATTGCATTGGAATTTCTGCCATTTAATTGGATAACAGTCAATCCCCACACAACGGACTTATCATAATTCGTGAAACAGACTAGCCTGTTGTGTGAAAATAAGTCTGTTATGCAAATTCAATTATTGAAAAATTAAAATGTTTACTCTTTACCATTAATTTTAAACCAACTAAAGCCTGTTTTGCAGATTTACTCCACTGGGTTAGAGGGAAAACTGCCTCAAGAGGCAGTCTGTTGTGCAAAAATCCATTGAGTTGGAGGTACATTGTGCAGGGGTTGACTGTACATTTATCTACATGCTTCAATTCTTCATCACTTTTAATGTCAAGTTGAGGAGTGAAAAGAAGATCTCCTTGAATTGTAATAAAAAAATATTGAGATACTGTACATGTGTAAGGCTTGGAATGGTTCTTATAGTGTACATGTACAACATAAATTAGTGGAGAGACGTTTTAGAGAAGTTTGTTGCATAATGAAGTGCAGATAGAATATTTGTGGTCATATTTGTGCTCAAACAGGGGTTTCAAGACTCAAGAGACATACAATAATATAGATGCTAGCCTCAGTAAACAGTTTTTGGACTTTTGAAACGTTTTGAAGTGATAAGGCAGTACAGTATACTGTATTGCAGGTTCATATATATCCATTGAAGATATTCAATATACTGTATCAGGATTTGTCTGTCTAGTGCTTAAACAATTCATATTTTAGTCTTTGAATGTGCATCTGTATTTATTTTTAACTGAAAATAGTCGACAAAATACACCTCCCTTGTGTAATGAAAGTTAGCTTGAAAATACTGTAGTAGTATTCAGGCTGCAAACTTAATCATTTATTCTCTAGAGAAGATTTTGGAACTCAATTTCCCCCAGAAAATTTACATAAAATGCCTGGTGCCACAAAAAATGTGATGCATAATTGGAATAGGAAAATCCTTAACCACAAAGCATGGGTTTATTTGTCATATTGTAGTTGCTCACAAGAAAAACTATTCACCAATTGGACTTATTCTTGTCTCAGGAAATTTGAGGAAGAACTGTTCAACTTCAAAGTAGGTTCAAATTATTGCACATAGTTTTTAAAAGCTTTTGACCAGGCTTGAAGATTATAGTCTGAGAAAAGGAAGGTTTTCAAAATCAAGGATATACCTGTAAAGAATGCCCATCTGCATGTACAGGGGCCTCTGAAACAATCTTTCCCACAACAAACTTATCTCTACAATAATTTTTTCTGGTTCCTTGAGTTTTATTATAGAACAAGTCCAATAATATAACGTGCATTTAGAAGTCATTTTATTTTCTAACCATTTATACGTTGTTGATTCTTATATTTGTTTGCATGATCAGATGGAGCCAGTATGCCATGGCAGCAGGAAAGCTCAGGAGGAAACATCAAGTCTTCATCAGGCAAACTTTGTGACCCCTGGCATGCTGAGTCTCACAGCAGAAGACTGTGGTGGCACCAACGCAACCAGCAGAAAACACCATGAACACCGCACTTGCACCAAGAGTGTGCACAAAGTTGTCTTCCTCTTCTGCTCTCTCACACTTGCTATCATCATTGCCTGCATAGTCTTTGTTGAGAGTAAGTATAACACTTCATTTTGCTCTTCTTTTTTTTTAAGCTTTACTAACTCATGTTTAAGTTCAATTAGTAAAATTTATTATTTCTATTCACAGTGAGACCCTCACATGCAGACACCTCAACATGCAGATGATTCAACATGGGGGCATTTATTTTCCATAATAAAAAAGGCACAAAAAGGCACAACAAGGAGACACTGACTTGACATGCAGCCATTGCATCATAAATTTGCCAATACATTTCAGGAAAAGTGACTTTTATCAGATTGAATTGTAAGAAACAGATACAGTATTTCCAATCCTAGTATAGGATCTATGCAAGAATAATATGGCATTTTTCTCATCATTTTCTCATCCATTCAGCTCATGAAAAAATACCTCCCATAGAAGGACTTCCATCTCTCTTTGTGACTTGATTGCTCAATATACTATACAAGGGGTACGGTATTCAATGCTCCATTGAGTTTAAAGATATTCACTGAATCAATTTCAATTGGCAGACAATTTCTTTCATGGAATTCTGATGAACAATTCTTCTATAAAACACCAACTAAAAATGATATCATGTGCATCTACAGGAAAACCAGACTTAACTCAGGGCCATTTTGACTTAGAGACACTCTTGAATGAATGAATGAACAGAAAACTTTATTTGTAGAGATAAGTTTGTTGTGGGAAAGATTGTTTCAGAGGCCCCTGTACATGCAGATGTCGCACTTGCACCAAGAGTGTGCACAAAGTTGTCTTCCTCTTCTGCTCTCTCACACTTGCTATCATCATTGCCTGCATAGTCTTTGTTGAGAGTAAGTATAACACTTCATTTTGCTCTTCTTTTTTTTTAAGCTTTACTAACTTCATGTTTAAGTTCAATTAGTAAAATTTATTATTTCTATTCACAGTGAGACCCTCACATGCAGACACCTCAACATGCAGATGATTCAACATGGAAAATTTATTTTCAATAATAAAAAAGGCACAAAAAATGGCCCAACAAGGAGACACTGACTTGACATGCAGCCATTGCATCATAAAATTGCCAATACATTTCAGGAAAAGTGACTTTTATCAGGTTGAATTGTAAGAAACAGATACAGTATTTCCAACCCTAGTATAGGATCTATGCAAGAATAATATGGTATTTTTCTCATCATTTTCTCATCCATTCAGCTTATCAAAAATATCTCCCATAGAAGGACTTTCATCTCTCTTTGTGACTTGAATGCTCAATATACTATACAAGGGGTACGGTATTCAATGCTCCATTGAGTTTAAAGATATTCACTGAATCAATTTCAATTGGCACACAATTTCTTTCATGGAATTCTGATGAACAATTCTTCCATAAAACACCAACTAAAAATGATATCATGTGCATCTACAGGAAAATCAGACTTAACTCAGGGCCATTTTGACTTAGAGACACTCTTGAATGAATGAATGAATGAATGAACAGAAAACTTTATTTGCCGCTTTTCAGCATTCACAAGGTACAACCAAAACTCCCGCATCCAAACCCCCTCCCCACCCAACCCAACTCCCCCAAAATACATTCAATCACTTCAAAGCATGAAACAAAGCATAAACCAATGACAAAAACAAAAGAGAACACACTCTACAAAATAAAAACTGGACATCCTATGACACTCTTAATGCACCAATTACGTTTGCATCCTGGGGTCTCACTGTACATGGAAAGTTCTGTCTGCTATACTGTATTGCAGTCTTCAAAAATCCCCCTACCTTTTACATTTTTGTTCACAGTATTTTCAGGATGGCCGTAACAACCAGCAAATCATCAAGTGAAAATTTGAAAGAAGAAGCATTGTACAGTATATTTGTTATCAATAAACTTACTTAAATTATGAGCGGTATTCAATGCTCTGCCTGCAATGGTTCTTAGAGACTTGCTGTTCAAGTATGAATTTAAAATATTCTTGGACACTCCATGTCCATGTAAATGTACCAGACCTGTCCACAAATGTAAATTTAGGACTGTACTATGTATTGGTATAATCAACCGTAAAGCTATCTTTTTTTTAAATCAATTTAAATGTAGAGGGGCTGACCACCCTTTTCTTACTGTACAGTATCCAATGTACTTTTTTCCTTCCCACAGTGAAGCAAACTGGAGACTGGGAAGAAACGTCCAGACGGTATCATGGTGAAGTTGGTGTCAACATCCAGCAATTGGCCACCCACACTCATACTCATCAAGAGAATCTGGCTCATCCTGATTATTGAAAAACTGGGATATCATGTTCATTTCAAATTCAAGTGAAGTCTGTTCCATGATCATCAGCAGCATGTGCATTTGTTGTGCTTGTTCACATGGCTAAGCACACCAAAGCTATTTAAAAAAAGAAGTTTTCTTGCTTTAAGTACAAATGTGGAAAAAGCGAAGATTTTGTTCATACTCAAAATTAATACAAATGTAATGTTTAAAAAGTCAAGGCATTAATTGAGCGACTAACTCGACTTTTTCCTCCCATTGCAGTGTTCAAGTGTATATTAATAAACAGTGATATTTCCGTAAAAGTTTTCATTTTGTTCATTTTTTTCCGATGGTTCTGGTTCACTTCATGAAATTTCAATTCTGAAAAAGGATGTGTTTTATTAATTGTTCAGACTGTGATTTGTTCCTGATAGATGGACCACTTTGAGTTTCCTCACAAAAGGGGCACCCTTCATTAATGGATGAAGAACTTTAAGAAAAATTGTTGATGCGAATGGAATAAAATATTTTTTGGAGAAGGAAATATTGAATATATATTTTCAGCCAAGGGATCCTAAACTGATCTCGAAATTTAAAGAGCATGGACTCTATAATTTTATATATTGACAGTATAATGCAACACATTTTTAAAATTTGAAAAGTTTGTTGCACAGAAAAAATTCCACGTGCAGCATTGAGATATTGTATTCAAGTTCAGGTGTATAAATAATGCTTTCGAAAAAATCCCATGCAAATTTTCTTTCTTAGAAAGAGGGATATAATGCAGCTATTATTTATTGTGATGAACATATCACTTTCAGTACTTTTGCTTTTGTTTGGCATGATACAAAAATTAATGTTTAGAATCGAACTATTTTTCTAATATGCTATTCTATTCGGAGCTTTCCGACGACTTCATAGATACATTCTTGGAGAAATAATCCATAAGTTTTCCATTTCTTGATATGAGGAACCTCGAAATGAAATTTTCATTTATCCCCAAAACCTTTTTGGAACTACAATCGATATTTCTAAGGCATTTCATTGTTCTACCCTTGACTGAAAAACCTTTTTAAAAATTTCTATACCACGGGAATGATGCACATTTCTCATCAAGATGGACTGAAAAATAAAAAAAAGTTCGCGTTCTAGAATCTAGAGTTGTTCATAGTCCACCTCGTGGAATGACTCATGTGAATCAGTATCGAAAAACTCCCGAATTTCTGTTCTTAAAAAGTTGCGAGTATCAATAATAATCCGCCACTTCGATGTTCCTGATCGCTAATTCATTGAATATGCTGCTTCAAGCTATAGAAACATTGATATGCAGTACAAATTATTAGGATTTATTAATTCGCACATATTTTTTAGCCATTCAGAAAACGTTGGTATTCTATACGTAATCTAAAGTTGCTCTACTCATGATCTATATATATATATATACCTAATCGTGAAATGAATCGTTCGAATCAGAACTGCAAAATCACTCGAATTTTCTTTCCCAGCGAAGTTGCGAACATCAATAATAAAATGTGCCATATCTATCTTCTGGCTGTATATACTCACTTATTCAGCATGCACACTAAAAATTGATACGAAAGATGTGATTCACATACTGTGCATCATAATTATCTCGGTTTCACTCAAATTTTGTAAATAATACTGTAGAGTGAACAACAACCACGCAATCTTTATCGTGCAGACTTTAACGTACGCTCGGGTTCATGAGAGAATGATCGGGAGTTGAGAATTCGTGACGATGTGCATGATCAGGCTTCGAACAACACACTAAGCTAAGGCAAAGAGTTCTCATCGTCAAGCAGCCATGCTCAAGATGCGCATCACCATGAGCTTGAACGAATCCACAAATAACAATAGAGGCCGAAGAACAACGAAGCTGAAAAGTGTACGGTTAAGAACAGTGAAACCTACTCACGTGTAAACGCATATCGGCGATGTGTCCCATGCATGAAAAATCAGTCCGGAGTGTTTCCGCCCACGCAGCTTTCTTCGTTCCGGCCTCGCGAATGCCTGGCAAACAGGCCTTGAAATGTGGGACTCAAGCAGAAGAAAATTCCGCTTGGGTTGCTCGTCCCAACCACGACAATGAGAAGGAAGAAAAAGATGATGCACATACACAGGCGAATAACCCGCAACGGACTTTTCCCCAGTTTGTTGACAACCGTTGCTTCTTCACAAGTTGTCTGCGGCTGCGTTGATTCGGATGTACCCAGCACCTGTTATGGCGATATTGATTTATTTTTCTCCGAACTATCGTGCTGTTGAAAATGTCGCGTGACCGTCAGAATTTTCAATCAGTGCAACAGTCATCTTGGTGAACTGCGAGCTATCGAAGTGAAGAGTTTTGTTCCTCATATAGCACGAACACGTATACAGTATCTCGGACGACCAAGAACGCGTTCTGTTGGACAAACGCTTTCAGTGCAATTCCTTAGCCTCTTGAATACAATCAAAATGTGTGCAACAAACAGATCTGTTCTTCGAAGTTTAAACCAGTGCTGCTCCCCAAAATGTGGTCCACAGTTATTGACATATACTTTTTTGCCAGTCTGCAGGAAATTTTCCTCAGAATCACATTCATAAAAAGTAGTACAGTAATGAAGTTTGTTGCCTTAATCTAAAATTTCAGAAAGACAGCAATGGCAGTTTAAATTATCAGATGAAAAATGAAAAGGTGGATTTTATCTTTAAAAAGTTTCAGACAAATTTCCACCAGCTGAATACAAATATTTCAATTTTTCATTCTGAGAAACCTTTCTTCAACCCCCCCTTTTTTACCAGACGGACAAAACACTTGACAGCTTCGAAAATGATTGATTTCAGCTGATGTGTTGCAGAGTGGGAAAGAACTGCAAATGCTGCTCCTTATCGCGATTTTCGGCTTTCTCGTTTCGCCCATTTCCTCAACATCATCAACCATCAGCAGTGAATCAGGCCCGGAAATATTCTCGTCCATCGCCGAAATGGAATCACTGTTCAAATTCGAAACTAAGTTAGATCGCGCATTAGCGAGTCACGTACAGAAACTCACAGAGCAACTCAGCGTGCTGAATCAGTTCCTCGCTCAGCCAGCAGCATCAGCAGAATCCCACAATGAACCATCACATTCGGAAATCCGGAACCCCGAGTCATCGTCTTTTACATCACCTGATGGCAAATCTAGAGACGAAAGCAGACGACTACGAGGAGCTGCGAACCCACTGGACTCGTACGCTATTCTGAAGCGATTATCTATCGGTGTTCAGCCCGTGCAAGAAATTATTTCCGCCGAGGAATCCATCATCGCGGACAACTCAACCAGCTGCAATAACGTTTTAAAACCGACAGGTAAACCTGAAAGACATAAAAAAGACTTCATTCTTCATGAACAACAAAAAACAACCCGAAATTCCTATACCAACAGCACCTATACAAATAATAATCCCGGTCCTCATCTAGGTCTTTCTGAGAGATTGTCAAAAGCCACAGAGGAAACCCGCGGGGTGCAACTTCCGATCACGCCTGCGGATTTATCAGGAGCTGTTCTTGCACTTGCCAACTTGCGGGAAACTTACAATTTGAGCATCAACGATTTACAACAGGGTCGTATTCAAACGTCGGACGGAGTTTCAGCTCCCGGCAAGAAACTGATGGCAGGTAAGCCGTAAGCTCTCGTATATATATACGACGGTTATTCAGCATCTTGATGAAAACAAATACAATTGAACGGAATGAAACTTATTACTGTTAGTTTGAAAACGGAAACTTATCCATTTGGCTAGATTATTAAGGTTAAGTTAGGGAATCTGAGGACAGTTTATTGATTTTTCTAAAGCAAAAGTAACTCTCTGTCGTACTGTATATCCTTTTTTCAGCTGATGGACTTCGAAGCCCTCTTATATGGTACAGGATGATGCGTCCAGAAAAAAAACCGTCAATATTTTAGGAAGCAACAAACATAAAATTATGGAATTTAAGACAAAAGAGTGTGACATGCAGTGAAACTGAAGGTGCAAATAAATCGTGACATGAAACAAAACAATCCCAAATTTATTGCATTTACTGCTGGGGAAAGAAGGAGCATTTCTGGTCATTTTTCAGAGCAAATTCCAAAGCGATTTATTCAACCCAAGAAATATACTGTACTGACTATACAGGAATACGTGTTTTCAGTACATTCCCACATTTTCCACTTTATATAGGTCAAGATCTCATCTTTAGAGGAAGAACACCGTATATTACTTGATGATCTTTTCATACATAGGGTATCATGATATCCTCCAATTTCTGAAAAGACTTTCTGGAAAATTCCAAAAGCGGCGCTAGAAAAGTTGGAAAAGGCTTCTTCAGATGAGTAAAAGTTCCGAAAGTGGGTGAGAAATCATGAAAAAATTTCCCCTCGGTTTCCCACGTCCCATTTTCATTCGACACGAATTCCATGATTGACTTCATATCAAAATTTATGGCACTGCGTGAATCATTGGTGATGTAACCAGCACAAGCTGCTGTTCACAAATTTTTTTATGGACTCCAGACAGTCTATTCCCAATCGTAAATCTATTTTTTTCGCATATCAGCCCGAGATTGTATGTTCATCGGGAAGCACGCTTTCAATCAGAACAATTATGGAGAAGCAGTTGACTGGCTTGAAGTAGCATTTTCTCTTTCGAGTTCAGAACATCCCAATGCAACGTCTGAGGCCGAAGTCCTACCGTTTCTGCAAACAGCAAGACGAGTGGTGAGAATTTAATCAATTCTTAGGGCGTCATTTCCATTGAAAAGAATTCGACGTAAATAATCACAAAAAATAAGTGCCATATATCTTGCGAATCCTTCAAACATAATGATATATCTATCAAACGCTTTTTGGTAACTTATTCACGGGCTGTATCAAAAATTTAAGCGAGTATTACTTGTATAGGCAATCAAGAAACAAAAAATTTTCCACTTTCTCGTCGTGCAAAGATAAATAACGGGATACTTTTCAGTGCTCAATCCTGTAAAAAGTTTAGTATTTCATTACTGTACCACAAAAAAGGACAAAATAGTCGATTCATCAGCTGTAACCGTAGGTCATCCAAATATATAATTTTACTCACGTAAGTATCGAGGTTATTTGCAAAGTGGAACCGAAACTATGAGACAAAATAATTTACGAGTTTCACAATAATCTGACAAACAACAAGCAATAAGTACCGCTGAAAAAGCTTTCAACTTTTCGCGATGAGGAAATTGGACCAACAGCTTTATCTACACATCTCTTCGAACATCCATTGAAAAACAAAAACAGTGATGCGGTTCTGAAAATCAGTTTTAAAAAATCATATTATTGAGGCTAATCGGGTATTCTTGCGAATATAAGGCGAATTTCCCTCGACAAATTGGGAATAATCTGGTGAATCTTATATCCGAAAGTCAAATGTTTCATTCCTTCTGTAATTTGAAATGAAGTTCACATTATACAGCACTCGGAAGATCCGCGATAACACTTCAAATTAAAGTACAATACAGTGAAGTACCGTACAGTATGAGCACGGTACATGGTACATCACGTACGTTCCGAAATTAAGCTATGAAGTATAGAGCTCGGGTATAGAATATATATTGACCAATAAACCGATCTTGAAGAATTTCAATTCAATGAATTGTGATCCAAAATTATTTTTACGAGCAGCATATGCTGACTCCTATTCTCTCTACGTGTTCAATTGCATTCTGCTCTTTTTCTTTTTCTCGTGCATACAAATATGCATACACCCGTCACACGCACCTGCTTCAAGGCCAGCTAGCTATCCAGCTTTCTGTCCTCTCGCGGTCATATGTATGTGTGTGTATATCTATTTCTTTTGGGCCAGCCAGCGAGTCACGAAACCTGTTGGCTGCCCACCTTTAAAACTCAATGTACTATCCTATACTATTCAGCATTCGTGTCCTGACTCACTCGCGGACTGTTGTGCACCGAAATACATATTGTTTGCCTCTCAGCAGAGATCCTGGTGCTTACTTATTTAACTGCTAAAAATCCTTTTGCCCGCAAAGTACGCGGAAGACAATTGTGAAAACCCAGGATAGAATTAGTTATTCCAAGATTCGAGGTCGGTAACAAACTTACCATTAGACCTAATAGTAAGCATTTGTTTAAGATTCACCGATTCTTGTATTTCTTCAGGAAATAGGATAACAGAAATTGGCGCAGCCGTCCGTCTTCTTTTTGTGGGGGGTGAGTGTTCCACGAGTAAAACAAACTAATCTGTGCACGGACTAGGTTGTGTGTCTGCGAATTTTTGGTTGCTGCTACTCCTCTGCGGTGTATTTTAACTGCCTTGAGTCAACGCGCGTGACCAAGGAAAGCAGAGTGATACAATTAGTGAAGTACAAAGAAAAAGTGCATCTAAGAGCAGCATTCTAAAAATTTAAAGAGACCTCGTGAAGAGTTAAGAAGTAAAGAAAAGCCAAATCTAGGGAGGTGACAAGTGTGTTGGTGACTCAGCCGGTTGAGTGAGTGTATCGGACGCGATGCTCCCTCCGCCTGTTTTGACTGATACCCCTACCACCCATAGAAATAGGCTGTTACGTGAAACCCCCGAGGATCAAGTGGTATACTTGCGTGAGTTGGTCCGCCTTTTAGAGGCAGAACGTGATACATTGCTTTTAGCAAATGAGGTACAACCTCGTCTGCCAGAGGCTATGCTAATCAACAATGAACGCAGTGTTGAATTACTTGAAGAGCAAATTAGAGCTTGGAATACAATGGTAGAGGCTCTCGTGCCTAACTTAGCGGCTAGGGACGAGAGCACCCTAGCAATTGAAACTGCTCAGTTAACTTTGTTTGCCACCCATCTTAAGGATGAGGTCACCCGACAGCAACGTGAACTAGATGAAATGGTGGGGATCAAGAATAAACTGTTAACAAAAGAACTAACTCTTGATCAACTAGATCGTCCTAGTTCTGACGAAGTAGTGTTCTTCAATATGAAAACGGGCAGCCAAGATGCTCCCAAAAGAAAAAAAGCAGATCACAAATAGCATTGTCAACCAATTGCCAAATTTATCTGGCGCTGCCAATGAAAATTGGGCTGATTGGTGGCAAGATATCCGTGTAGCCCTTGTCTGCTGTGATATTTCAGACGACAACATGAGGACTATTATTCTGCAGAAGGTCGTTGGCAAGGCCAGGGAGTTCCTTCGTTGTGTTAATGGGTTAACAGAAGAGCACTACCGCGTTATGGTCAAGGAATTAGAGTTAGCCTACAGAGGTAATTTTATGGGAGAAGGCGCGCTGAAACTCCAGACAATGTATCAAGGTGAGTTAGAATCAGTTTTGGATTTCTCTGTTAGGATCCGGAGAGTGGGCCAGCAAATGCTTGGCGAGGCCCCCAGCAAAATTAAAGTTTTAAGAGTGGAAGGCCAAGAGCCGAAACTCTGTACGAACCCGTTCCTTAAAATCGAGTTGATCCGGTATGATGCTCAACAGCAGAGTATCGATCAACTGATGGTTTCTCAGTTTTTGCAAGGAATGTTGCCAAGTCTTTATGATAGACTTGGTGCTGTTCCTATTACTATGGCACAAGCCCTCGAGTACGCGACCAATATAGAGAAATTGAAAGCGCGCCGAAGAGCTAAGGAAAACTTTTGAGTGATGTCTGCAATCGCTCGTGAGCAGCAAAACCAGCAAGGCACTAATAATGCCAATCCCGCTAGAATGTGTTGGACGTGTGGAAAACCTGGCCATTTTAGCAGTGAATGCTATGCTAAAGGTCAGCCGATTGGCGCCACAGCTAGTACCTTGCAACTGCCTAATGTGTCCCAGCAATCGCGCGGCCAACGTCTAGTTTTCTCGGTTCCAACTGATGGACAAGGGAGACCGATTGGTTTTCCCAGAAACAGCCGCTCTTCCAGCAGGAGCAAAAGTCCAGACTCCAGGGCATCCAGCCCTGGATCTCATCATGGAAAAGGAAATAAAAATCAGAAATGCCAACAACAACCGAGACGCGAGCAAAGATCTTCCTCGCACAGATCCTCAAGAACAAGTCGAGGAGTCCATTTCCTCCAGCAGCTTGAAGGATTAGAAGGGGCTGTTGTCGAAGGATTCAAAGACGAACCATCGGATTCGGGAAACGGCAGCCGACCGGGGTTTCACAATTAACATCGAAACTCCCGGTCATTATTTTGTCAACACCCATCGCCAAGGCA